ATTTGGGGTTTTCATTAGTTGTCATTTATAATCAACATTAAAAGTAATAAACATTTGAAATATATCAGTCTGTGTGTAATTAATGAATATAATATAAAGTTTCATGTTTTGAATGGAATTACTGAAATAAATTAACTTTTCATGATATTCTAATTTTATGACCAGCACATGTATATCTCCTCTTTGTCTTTTTCCTGGCAGCTGCATTTCTAACATCATTCTACCAATATACCCACTGTCCCACCTCTGGACATGTCCAAACCATCTCAGTCTCTAACTTTATCTCCCAGTTGTTCAACCTGTGCTGTATCTCTGATGATCTCATTCCTAATCTTATCCAGCCTTGTCACTCCTAAGGAGAACCAACATCTTCATTTCTGCTAATTCCAGTTCTAAAACAAAAGTTCAGGTTTTAGATTTTTATCTACTTGATGTTTTGAAGTCGTTCACATTTTCTTTATTTTCTATTTTCCATCAAATCACACATTTCTAGATGTGGAATTTAAGTTTTAATATTTCAAGTCCAAACTATGATGATAATTTAACAGTCTTTTTTTTACAATACTGTTTGACTGCTTGTGTTTTGTTTAGATGTTATTGTGTAAAAATGTTATTTCAGCTGCTCCGTTCTTCAGGGGCTGCCACAGCGAACAAACTCTCGTGGAGACTTGACAGTTAATTTGACATTGTATGCAGAGACCTGTCATCAAGGACACCCAGGGAACAGATGAAAGGAAAAGGTTCTTGCTCAAGAGTCCAGAGGGACTTTGGGTAGTGTGGATGGTTGTTTGTCTCATTTATATCTGTGTCTCTGTGATGGACAGGAGACTTGTCCAGGGTGTCCCCCACCACTAGCACAGTGGCTTCTGGAGATGGGCACCAGCTTACACAAACATTTACTTATAAAGGTACAAATATACACAGAAGTATTAGTTTATTTTATTCGTTTTTAACGAGTCTTTACTTTTTTACTTGACATGCAGACAATCAAATGTCCACCAGGGGGCGGTGTAATACATTTTGCACCTCTCCTCCACTCCAAAAAAAGTTAAAAACCAAAACAGCTGGACTTCTTTCCTGAATCTGAAGATGTTTCACCCCCCAGCTGGGAGGCGTCATCAACTTAGAAATGTCTGGAGTGTGTGGAGTTCCACAGAGAGACCTCATTAGACGTACATGCAGATTAGATACTCACCTTGCACAATGGAGGTCTCTTTGTCTGCCTGCTCATGAGACAGGTGTTATGGTCACCTGCATGCAGGTGTGAAATGGAGAAGCTGACTGGGAATCAGGCATAATGCTGCACTGATGTAATCAGCTTCCTTCACCCCCCTCTCGGAGCCAGTGAGGGGGAAAAAAACCCAAAACATCTATATTCTCTCTCTCTCTCTCTTTTTGTTTTTTTTTCCCCCCAGAGCTTAAATGTGTAATGCCATAATAAATGTATGTACCGGTAGTTTCAAAACAGCCTTTGTTACACAATGTGGTGGGTTGCCAGTTGGGCTGCTTTTTTTTTTTTTTTTCATTCAACCTTTATTTAGACAGGTAAATCCCATTGAGCCTCGAGGACTCATTTACAAGAGAGACCTGATTTCAACAAAGAATGATGACGACAATGGACAACAGCAACAACAATAAACAGTTATAAAAAGTCATACAATTTTTTTTTTAACAAATAGGAAGGCTAAAAAAAGAAAAGTAACAAAAAACAGCTAGATTCTAAGGTGAATGTAGAAAACTAAAAACAGTAACATGTCTGCATTGGTCCCTGCCAGGAGTCCAACAGATTCTTAAAGCCACTTAGAGAGGTCAAGGTCAAGAGCTTCAGGTCTTTTTGTAAGATATTCCAGGAAACAGGAGCGGAGAAGGAGAAGACCCTTTTGCCAAGTTCAGTCCACACTGAGGGAACACTGCAGGTAATAATGTCCTGAGAGCGCACGCTGTAACTGCACTCACGCAGAGACATGTAGAAGGAGATGTATGAAGGCAGCAGACCAAGAAGTGTTTTAAAGATGAAAATATACCAGTGGGAGAGTCTGCGTGAAGAATTTTTGGTCTCGTTTTCATAGAGCTGGTTGCTTGTTTCTATTGCGAGATCTGGCAACACTGGTTCTGTGTTCAGATGAGTTGTCACTGCTGGTTATTCGGTTCAGTGTTGGGTTGGCATTTATGTTCCGGTTGTTGTTAGTTAAACTGGGTTTCTTTTTCAGAAACAAATCCTGTCCAACTCTGAATGCTAAGAAACGTCTTGTATCTGTGACTTTCCTTCCCTCCATTGATTACGGTGACATTATTTACATGAACGCTCCTACAAGAACCCTGCAGATGTTGGATGCTGTCTATCATGGTGCACTAAGATTCATAACTGGCTGTAACTAACGTACCCACCACTGCACCCTGTATTCACTGGTTAACTGGTCATCATTAACTTCACGCAGACTCTCTCACTGGTACATTTTCATCTTTAAATCACTTCTTGGTCTGCTGCCTTCATACATCTCCTCCTACATGTCTCTGCGTGAGTGCAGCTACGGAGTGCGCTCTCAGGACATTATTACCTGCAGTGTTCCCTCAGTGAGGACTGAACTAGGCAAAAGGGCCTTCTCCTACTCCGCTCCCGTTTCCTGGAATATCTTACAAAAAGATCTGAAGCTCTCGACCTTGACCTCTCTAAGTGGCTTTAAGAATCTGTTGGACTCCTGGCAGGGACCAATGCTGACATGTTCCTGTTTGTAGTTTTCTACATTCACCTTAGAATCTAGCTGTTTTTACTTTTTTTTGCCATCTTATTTATAAAAATAAAATAAATAAAAATCTGTATGCCTTTTTTGTGGCTGTCTATTGTTGTCACTGTTGTCCATTGTTGTCATCATTCTTTGTTGAAATCAAGTCTCTCTTGTAAATGAGTCCTCCAGGCTCAATGGGATTAACCTGTCTAAATAAAGGTTGAATGAAAGTTAGTGACGGTAAAAAAATGACATCACAAGTCTGATGCACCTGGTGTATAAACAGGGGGGAAGTGCTTCCTGTTTAGCAAGCTTCTGAGTTGTGAAACTGATACCCTGACCCTGTAGTATCTGCCAAGTTAGCATTTAGCATACTGCAACAATTACTGAGCTGAAGCACCTGAAGTCACAGTTCACCACCAAAATTTAGTGTCTAAAAATGTGGACTCGGTTCAACAAGTGCAAAAAGCTCCCAGTGGTTCCCAGTGTTGATGAAATGTTCAGGTAGATATGTTTAGTGAAAATTCCAAATAATGTAAAACTTTAGTTATTCTTGATGCAGCAAAAGATGACTATTTCAAGCATTGCCTTTAATTAATCATTAAAAAAAAAACTTGAATGTTTGCCGTCTAAACTTAAATTGTAACAAGTGATTTATACTAAACATTTAAATAGTTTCAAGGTAATATTTCCCTGATCTGGAAATACAAATGGGGTTGTAAAATTCCCAAGTTAGATTTTTAAATGACAAAATTTAAATTATGGGAGTGGGGGCACAGAGATGAGAAGGTGGGCCTGTGATCTGAAGATCGCTGGTTCAACTCCCAGTACATCAAAACGTGGGTGGGAGTGGTGAAGCATACACCTGTCTCCATCCTCATTTGCCGCACTCTGGGCCCTTGAGCAAGGTCCTTAACCCCCCCCATCTGCTCCCCCGGGCGCCCTAGATAGCAGCTCTCTGCTCCACACAGAGGGCAGTGGTAGCTCGGTGGTCTGTGGTTGCATCAGGAACGGTATCCAGCAGAAAAATAATTGCCAAGTCTTCGTGCAAATAAATTCACTGTTGCTCTGATGAAGGGAGCAGCCGAAAGAAGAAGAAAAATAATTAAATTACAAATTAAAAAAAAAAGTGCTATTTTTTTCTCATTTTAAAATGACAAAGATTTGGAGTTTCCATATCTGCACAGGCCTAACACAAGAACGTTTAAAAAAGAAAAATCCCCTTTACAAATCACATACCTGATGCACAGAAACAACAGATTGTACCACGGCAGAATGTGTGCACGGAGCCGGGGAAACATTTCGGATTATATTCTTATTTTTCCTATATAAACTTTCTTCTGAATTTGGTCATTTTACAGCTGCATAAGTATAAATTTCTCAAGTTGTAAAAACAATAACTGTTACAACTATAAAAGTAAAAAAAAAAAAAGATCACCGTGAACCGTATTTACTGAACCTTGAAAGATGAAGTTAAAACATTTGAGTTTTATCTTCCTCTTTTAGTTCTGTCATTCTGGGAACCAAAACACAAAACATATTTTGGATCTATTGTTTAAAACCTTATTGAGAAAACACGTTCATAAAAGAAAAACAGACGCTGACAGTTTGTGTACTAAAATAAGGTTATTATTTACTTAAAAATTGGTATCTTGGACAGACTGAATACAAGTTTTTCATTTTTCTGATAAACTCATAAGGCACCAAACCAGATGCTGTACAAACAACACAACATTTAACATTTACATATTAGATTTTTTTTTTTTTTACACAGGAAACATGAATTTGCACAGAGCTGCAGTGAGCACATCATGCTGCTGCTTGCAGTTAAAGGAACAGTCCCACATTACCTGCTAGTTTTGCACACACAGTGGTGCATGGAAGTTTGTGAACTCTTCATAATTTTCTACATTTCTGCATAAATATGACGTAAAACACCATCAGATTTTCACACAAGTCCTAAAAGTAGATCAAGAGAACCCAGTTAAACAAATGAGACAAAATATTATACTTGGTCATTTATTAATTTAAGAAAATGATCCAATATTGCATATTTGTGAAGCTGGAAAAGTTTACAAAACCATCTGTAAAGAGTTCGGACTCCACCAGCACAGTCAGACAGATCGTGGACAAATGGAGGAACTTCAAGGGGTCACATACTTTTACCACTCACAGATATGTAACATTGGATCATGTTCCTCAATAAATAAGTGACCAAGTACAATATTTTTGTGTCATTTGTTGAACTGGGTTCTCTTTATCTACTTTTAGGACTTATGTGAAAATCTAATGATGTTTTACGTCATATTTTATGCAGAAATATGGAAAATTATAAAGAGTTCACAAACTTTAAAGCATCACTGTAGACTAGACTTGAAGATCAACTGTTAGCCTAGGTGCACCGAAACAGAAACAAATGTTCCTTTTTTTTTATATCAGAATATCAATTTTAATACTTTTGGAGTGTTTATAAGGTGTATTTTCTTTGCTGTGCTGAACCAGTTCATTATAAAATATTCTTGATATTAAATATTTAAAGTTCTGTGCCAGGTGAGAACGTAGGTCACGTGACTACACAATTATGGGTGCAAATCTTTTAGATTGGGGCTTCCTGATAAATTCTGCAGGGCTCTTTATTCTTGCTAACTGAAGATTCAACTTTTCTTCTTAAATTTTCCTTTTCACTTCTCATTCACAATCTTTAAGCATATAGCCAGAAAATTCTGCAACATTATTTTATTATGTAGTTTTAGTTTGAAGGCGTTTAATTCTGAACAGAACACAAAATAAGGAATTATTAGGTGTTCACTACTGCAACATGTAACCACCCCAAAGAAACTCCTGGTGGTTTCTATTAGCTCATGGGTGGAGCTGGATATGTAGCCCCGCCCTGCCAAGAAGCTCCGCCCTATACGTACCACAGGATCTCCGTGAGACAGACAAACAGGAAGTGGACAGACAAACTGGACGGCAGACGTCTCTTGGAGGAGTTGGCTGAACTCCACGGAGCTCTCAGGTGAAGCCGAGTGTCTAACCAACATTATTTACACGTTTCAGTCCACTTCTTCTCAGAGTACCTTGTTCAGTTCAGAAAGAACCTACTAGAAGATGGAGATATATTCCTTTATGGCAGGAGAACTCAATCCTGAAAATAAAAAATGAAAACTAAAATTGGCTGCTTTTCTCTGTTCCTCTCGTCCCAGTCAAATGGTATTTATCGTCATGTTTGGCTTTCACAGAAAGCGTTGAACCCAGATGTTTTGTTCCATATGAAGAACTCTGTGGAAGTGAAGGAGAAACACAGTTCAGCTCTCAGGAAGGTTATTTTCTCTTTTCTCCCACGTTCTCTTCCTCCTCCCGATGAAGGAGGCGGGCTGGGAGAACCGGTTCAGTCTGATTTGGTTAGAGTTCAGAGAGATGGACACGTGTGTAGGAGGCAGAGGACAGAGGAGCGGGGTCAGATCTTGATGTCCTGGGACTCCACCATCTTGGCGAGCGTCTTCTTCACTCTAAGGATGGTGAGTCGGGAGGCGGGGTTATGGGCCCAGCACTCTGACATCAGCTTCAGCATGGCTCGAAGGCACTGGGGAAACAACACCAACATTCTGAGAACACGTTTTCAATCTTTCTTCCATACAGACAGAATTTCATGTAGTTTTTGTAAAGCAGTTTTGATCAGTTCTCCAGGTTTCCTGAAGATTTTGATGGTTTGTTTTGGACTAAAGCTGCATGTGTTGAAAGCAAAACACAAAGAAAAAAAGAAGTAGATCAAGACTTTTAGAGGTTTTTGTGTAATGATGAGGGCCATGAGCGAGTTTTATTATCCTCTGACAAAGACGGAGGACAAAAACAACAAGTCTTGGAGCTGCTGCAGTTAGATGGTGGAGTGTTTTACACCTCCAGGATCTAGAGTCTCACCTCGTCACTGTTCCAACGATTGGATACTGTCGGCCGAAGTCCTTTAACACAAACCACCTCCAGCATGTCTTCATAGGAGGGGTCAGAGGGCACCGTGTCGTAATATGGCAACTGATATTCCTCCACAATACCTGCACACAGAGCACCACATTCAGTCAGCTGATGGCCCTTTCTGCAGAGGAATTCTGTTCAACATTTACAGAAAAGGCCAGACGTTGAACACTTCTTCCACTTTCTCAAAAATACTTGGATAAAACAACAAGAATCTCGTCTATAAAGAGGAACAAAATACATTTTTACCTGAAAATCACAAGATTTTCCTGATGACTACAGGATTACGGTTTTAAATAACATTTGGCATCATTTATTAGTCTCAAGAAAAACAGACGCGTGACTAGTTGAATTTTTATAATCTACTTCCAGTTAAGCCCAAAGGAGCATGTAAGATAAGAACTTTATTGATCCCGCAGGTTATCAGGTTTATTTTTATTTGTACTGTGTTAAAAGAAGTTATTACAATATTACAGGCTGCTGTTCATCAACAGTTCTGTCTGTTAGCTGCTGGTCCACTGATTAACTTGTTTTTTTTCTTCATTATTTTAATGCCTGCAATTACCGTATTTTCTGGATTATACGTAGTTGCATCAGTCAAAAAATGCCTCATGAAGAAGAAAAAAACACAAGTTGCTTCAAGTCGCATTTATTTAGAAGTGTATTTGACAAAGTGCAAGAACAGACAATCTGAAATAACACACAGGGGTTGACAGACCGTCAGGATTGTCGGGACATTTCCCGGTGGCCTGGCCCGCTCAGTTGTCGCCGAGGGACTGGACTAAAGACTCGGTTTGGGTTGCGCTTTATTATTTTAAATAAACAAGCTGCTCTTACCCGGTCTCATTGAAGCTGCACAGTAGTGATGAGGAAAGGCAGACACCTCCCCCTCAACCCCCCCCCCCCCCCTTCTTTTTCTGAGTCTGTCAAAGCAGAGACACACAGGTTGCGTGTCTGCCCCCGTGGACTTACAGTCCCGACAGTTATATGTTGGGCAAGTTACTATCCTCTGTGTCGCTTCTGAACAACTCCACCAACTCTGGAGGAAGATGGGGGGTGGGGCACAGAAGAGGAACAGCATATTGCTCTCAAAAGCTTAGAGTGCCCTCTCGTGGCTGCAAATGGTAATGTTTACTCTGGTTCATGTCAGTATGAGTGAACATTTAACGTGTCAGTCAAAAATTGCGTCATGAATGGGGGGGGGTATATATAAGTCGCTTCGGACTATACGTGACAGGACTGGCCAAACTATGAAAAAAAGAGCAACTTATAGTCTGAAAAATACGATAATGATGCCTCCCTCCCTGTAAAAGTGTCTAATTATCTTGATTATTACCAAGGACCAATAAAGTATCTTTCACTTGATCTATTCAGTGTATTATCTGGGAACAGTAAAATTTCCAACGATCAAACTGATTGAAATGTGAGGTCAGTCAGGTATCACCTGCCTTCTCATTTATGAGTGGTGTCCTTCTGATTGTGGACATTGTTCTCTCCTTGTGGGTGATCATTTAGAACAAACCTTAAACTGGTTTGGCTTCTTAAATCTTTTGAATTGTAGACTTATTGTGGAATCAGTTCCAGTCTTTAAGAGTTTGGGTGTCTGGTATTAGAAAGCCCAAATGTGTGTGTGTGTGAGTATACACACACCTCCAGTGACGCAGCGTCTGGTCATCTCCCACACAATGAGGCCGTAGCTGTAGATGTCGGCCATGATGTAGGCCTGGAAGTGATTCTTGTTGAGGCTCTCCTCCAGGACTTCGGGGGCCATGTAGCGCCTTGTCCCCACTCGAGTGCTCAGAGGGATGTCCACCTCGTTTGTGTCACTATGGAAACCCAAAGGACAGTTCATTAAAATCCTAAACGTGCTTACAGCTGTCACAGAATCGTATTACCTTTTAATAAACAAAGCCAACAACAATCAAATACAAGACTGATCATTTTCATTCACAGATGAGATCTTTCACTCATACATGTTACATAAAGGATCCGATCAGTAATCCTAGTCTCCAGACTTATGAGCAGATCAAAGTTAAAGAATGAAATCACCTGTTGAACTTGACGGCGAGCCCGAGGTCGGCGATGCAGCAGGTGCCGTTCTTCTTCACCAGGATGTTTTTGCTCTTCAAGTCTCGGTGGGCGATGGCCGGCTTGCCTTGCGTGCCGTAGATCTCCGTGTGCAGGTGGCAGAGGCCGCAGGCGGCCGAGTAGGCGAGTCGTAGCAGCGTTTGAGCGTCTAGCGTGGTCAGCTTCAGGTAGTCGTACAGAGAGCCGCTCTCGTGGTAGTCGGTGATGAGGAAGAGCTGCGTGGAGGCGCCTGAGCCTTTGATGTCTGCTGCAATAAAGCCTGCAGGACGGAGAGGAAACATTTAAAATAAGCAGAAATTAGGTTTGGGCAATGGGATAATTGCTATTTTTGTTCAATTGGCCACTGTTAGACCTACAACCAACAATTGTTGATACATTTATGCAGGCGTTTGTGTTTTAAGAGGGGTTGATAGTCTATCTCTGTTCTCCATACACTTATGGCCTGTTTTTGTGGCCAAAAACGCCCAAAAAAAAAAAAAAAAAAAAAAAAAAAAAAATAAAGTAATTTATTTAGAATTAGTTACTCAAATCTTTTGAGCAACCAGGTCTGTACTGATATGAGAAGCCAATGTCATCATTGCCATGTTGAAAATGGACGACTGATGGTGACCTTATTGTCAAAGCACACAATATTTTCTTTCATTGAAACCTGCAGTAAAATGTTTTGAAACAACAACGTTTTTATCTAATGACTAGTTTGATGTACTGCAAAGCAGCTAGAAGGCACAGGGAAAAGGTTTCATCACAGACAATCATTGCCACTTAAGTTAAAATCCCTGACGAGCCGTGGATGAACTGTTAATGGCAAAACCTTAGTGCAGCAGTGAAAGTCGAGTGACAATAAAAAGAACACCATCAACCCTCCTCATCAGCAGTGAATTTGGCACAGACATATTTTTTATAAATGATATATTCTTATAAATTATAAAGGCACTACTCAGAGCACAAGTTTTGACTGTATGATAACAGAAATAAACTTATTTGTTTAGCCCTTGGAAGGTCCTTTAACTTACAGTAAGTGTTTGTTAGGGCAGGGGTTCTCACAATGTTTGGGTTCACCATTACACAGCGAGGGCGCCCTGTCAACAGAACCGTGTGCACAGCCTCGAAAGAAAAAAAGGCATTTTCCTACAATCAGAACACCTGAGGGGATTAAAAAAAAATTATAGTCCAGAGTTTTGTGGAGACCATCCAGCCCACGGGACCCTCCAGCTTAGACAGCTGAAAAAGATTGTTTTTGGTCTAACTCACACGTGCGATCACTGGATAAGAGAAGTTATGCGTCATATTCACTGGGAAGAGATTAGATACACTGTGAGGGGATCTGTGGAAACATTCTGGGACACGGCAGCCATTTATGGTTTATATTTAAAGTGCGTCAGTGCCTGTCTAAATGTATGTGTGCCTGTTTAAGCGACGTGGTATGGGAGGGGTAGGTTTTTTGTTCTATGTGTTTTTATGTGTTATTAATGTAACAAATAAAAAACAATTAAAAAGACTAATTAAAATACTTATGTGACTCGGTGGTTTGACATTGAGTATTTATGTTTTGTTTTTTTAAACCTTTTTTCCCCGTCAAAAAACGTCAGTTTCTGTTTTGTTCTTGTTTTGTTCGTGTTTTGACTGACCCGGATATATTACAGAGTTTCTGCAGCCCTGTCCATCTGTTACTGAATTTCAGCCGTCAGATGTTCTGTGTCGTGGAGCGTCTTGATTCTTCAGAGTGCATGCATGTGGAGCTGCTTATTGTACTAAATACTGACTTGTGCATATTGCAAGTCTGTTTTTGCTCTTAATTATTTTTTCATGTTGGCTGAGTCCGTATTTAAAATTTAGAACCAATAGAAAGTGGTTGAAGCAACACAGAAGTAAAAGTCGTCCTCTGGGGTTACTTACATGACAATAAACTCTGACCCTCGTCTTATAATAAACATTTTACTTAAATATATTTCACTGTTTCTAGACATTTGGCATTTGATTTGTATGACATTGTTTTTTTCACTCAAACTGTTCCTAAATTAAACAAGGCGCAGGTCCTGGCTGAGCACTACAGAAAGTCAGAGGAGACATTTATTGTCAAGTCAAAAGTCTTTGAAAAGAAAGTGGAAAGTGTCCCTTAAAACAAATCAACCACAAAAACTACATCATTGGACTCATCAGTGTTGGTTGATGTATTTGTTCAATCGTCTTAACATTTGCGTAAAGTTCAAGACTCTGTTTTAACTGATCTGAATGATGTAAAACTCAGCTGTGTGAGTTAACGTGAAGCTTACCGAGGATGTTCTCGTGTCTCATCAGGACCGTCTGATAGATCTCAGTCTCACGGAACCAGCTGGTCTCCTCACGGGTGAAGAAGACTTTGACGGCCACCTTCTCGCCTCTCCAGCGGCCCAACCACACCTCGCCGTAGCGACCTTTTCCAATCTGACGAACCATCTGGATCTGCTTGGCGATGGTCCTCTGCACCTGAAGGAAACAAACACATGAACCTTTACGTCTAATCATACACAGTACGTCTGGAAAGTTTTCACAGCGTTTTCCACTTTTTATGTTACAGCCTTATTACAAATTGTATTAAATTAATCTCTACACACAATACCTCCTGATGACAATGTGAAAAAAGATAGAGATTCTTGCAAATTTATTAAAAATAGAAAACTAACAAATAACATTTACGTAAATATTCACAACCTATTCAACAAAATATTCAAACCAATTTCCTGGAATTCCACAGCAGACTGGTTTGAAACACGGCCTTAAGGCGCTATTTAAAACAACAGATCTTGTTGGCAGGCCTCAGACTGATTACGTTTTTTGGATAAAAGACCAAACATTTCTTCCAAAAAGAAACCGTCTAGATGACACGATTTAACTTTTTTTTGTGATTCACGGCCTTTGCTTGATACTTTGTTGATCCACCTTCGGCAGCAATCACAGCCTCAGTCTGTTTGAATATGAAGCCACAAGCTGAGCACACCTATCTTTAGGCAGTTTGTCCCACTCTTCTGTGCAGTACTTCTAAATAGAGGTGCAGAAAAAAAATGGATTCACTGAAGTATCTAGTTGGATTCCTAGTCCTGGCTATTCTGAATCAATTCTAAAGGTCCATAAAACGATTTTAAAATGCACTATGGTACGTTGAAGTTTTTGTTTACTTTGATTTCTATATATTTTGAATTATTTGTCTGTGATGGACTTGAGACCTGTCCAGAATGTTTCGCACCTCTTGCACAGTGACGGCTGGATAAGGGCACCAGTGACCCCCCCATGACCCACAAATGAAGAAGTGGGTAAAGATAATGGATGGATGAATTATTTGTTTATTTATTTTAGAAAAAGCCAGGCAGCTAAGCTAACTTAATACTGGTAAGATAAGTTAACAGAATTCCTATATTTGTTCCTATTTCTGGTATAAATATAAAATGATGCAAAAATAAATTTTAAATGTTCTATTTGTTTACATTGTCGTTTAATATTTTCATTTTGTCGGTTACATGATTTAAACAAAGTTTGACCATTCCATTAGTAAAAACGTTTCTGAATCGAATCGTGACACCAAAATGCGGAATCGAATCGAAAGACGCCAAGAGTCGCACCCCTACTTCTCAAGCTCCATCAGGTTGGATGGAGACGTCTGTGCAGCCATTTTCAGATTTCTCCAGAGATGTTCAATCAGATTCAAGTCTGGACTCTGGCTTGGTTCCTCCAGGACCTTCACAGAGTGGTCCTGAAGCCCCTCCAGGACCTTCACAGTGTCATCCTGAAGCCCCTC